TAAAGGAGTCAAATGTAGAATAAAATCAAACAGTCCACTCATCGCTATATGTGGAGAAGAGACATCATAATCCAAGAGGCATATATTATATAGGCAAGTCTGCGAAGTGAAGTCAAGTCTCTTAAGAGCGAACCAATAAAGGAGTCAAATGTAGAATAAAATGAATTGCAAATCAGTACTCCATTATTATTTTTTGATTGTTCATACTTTGGAAGGATATGATGATGGTCAAGTTTACCTCATGGGAGGTTTATGTAGGATAAGGCCGACCAGAGTGAAGAAGAAAAAGAGTTGTATGAAGACATTTTTATTAAAAGAATAATTAAAATATTAATTCTAAGTTAATATAATCTTAATTATTTATATATTATATTTTTTAAAAAATTGGCCTCTAGGATTCTACCACTTGGCTAGGATTTACCCAAGGCTTTGGGTATACTCAAGATGTTTTCAGGGAGGTTTGGGGCCTTGAATTTAATCCTTAAAGGAGTAAGATTTCATTTGATTCAACAATTTCTTATATAAATAGGTCGATAAATGTTTAATTTTGGAATAATGCATAATTAACTTCTGGTCTCTTTTAAACTCATTGGCATCCTACTAAATACTTATATATGTTGACACCCCTAGTAAATGCTTAGTTTCTTGGAATTATGCACTAGGTTTGATTTTTTTGTCATGTCATATGTTGACACCCCTAAAAGGATATAATTATTTTGTAAGATCCCAAGTAGAATCACATATATATTTTATTATTTTTCACTAATCATTTTAAAATTAATAAATAAATAAATAATATAGTTAAAAAAATTAAATGTGATTTAAAATAACACTAATCATCTTCTTCCTTCAATTGGTTTTGATTATAACTTTCAAGTACTCTGCCCCACGAAGTTTGGTTGGAAGCTTTGGCTACCAACTAATAGGTCTTGGATTTCAGTCTTATGTATGTGATATATGTATGAGTTTGACTTAATTGGACTAAACATCAAAAAAAAAAAATACTGCCCAAATAGTGGTAACTGATAGATGCATAAATAAGATTGTTGTAGCATCAAAGCTAGTGGAAGGTATTTTTTTGACATGGAACAATCAATAATTATATCGGAAAATATTATAAGTCTAAATCACAAACCATTATTAACTTCTAATTTATAGTGTAGTTCTTTTATTACTGTAATTTCTTCATAATTTTTGTGCTGTGGTGAAATTTCTTAAGAAATTGGCACCTGTAGATGCAAGTGGGGTTTTTGGAATTGTTAGGTGTCCGTTTTCCAAATCGATTTCACTAAAATATACTTGACATGATTAGTTAATTTATATTTTTTTTTTAAGTTTTAAGATTCCCATAATTGAGGATAAAAAGAAATTTAGATAGATTTAATATTTAATATTAAATAACTTTTTAATATTTTTGTATAAAAATCATTTTCCACTAAAATAAAGAAGTCTTTTAAATGCCATTAATTGCTTCTTAACCTCCAAATCTCCAAACAAAGAATTGCTTTGGGATTTAGGGAAGAAAGAGAAGCGAGAGAAGAGGAAAAATCTGATTGGGGATGACTTTGTGTCAATTTCGTCTGTCGGCCCAGTTGAGAAAGTTGTTTATCTTGAGGTAAGTCACATTATGTCTATCTCAATTTTCAAAAATATGTAATTTTTAGCTAATTTTTTATTTTTTATTTTTTGCTAGTGAAAAACACGGATAACTTTGCACTGGTAAAACTTCCATCGCGTAGCTTTTTATATATTATATAAATTACCATTATGCAAATTTTGAATATTTTTTGAAAAATTTTACATAGGAAGTTTTGAAATTTGTGAGGTTTTTAGTGAATAAAAAATTGTGTGGATGTTGAAAAATATTGGTATGATACAATAAAAGTCCTAAAATATCATTTTACACAATCCCTAAAAAATTTAATAATTTTTTAAAAATGTGCATTTTTGTCTAGTAAGATTTTGTGTTGTCTACCGTTATATAACTCCATGCAATTCTGATATATGATCAATAAGTCTTTGACTGTTGTAATATGAAAATATATACTCTAATCCAACATTGTAAAGCACCGATCTAATATCGCAGCGCAGCATATTAATAAATCTTGAATTACTATAGAACAAAGGTTCTAATGTCGTGGCGGTAAATCCTAGCGTTGTTGTGTTCTCAAGCCTAAAGCCACAGTGCTACCAAGCATCACGCCTCTGTGCTCCAATTTAAATAGAAATTCAAAATTTCAATTTCAAAAGTTTTTTAATGTTATGGATTCTTACAACTAACCTACTTCAATAGAATTTTTACTGTAAATTTATCAATGGTTTAATAAAAAAAACCAACATAAGAGGATTGGCCATGTAGCTAGAACATCTAGTTCGAAATCGGTAAATATGGCCAGGGTCTTAAGGGATATTGGGAATTTTTTGAACATAGTCCAAGACCATCAAGCTAAACACAAGGTTTCTCATGGTCAATTTATTACACCACTAAGTAATTAAGCCAATGAGAGAGACAAAGAGCTTAAAGAACCAACTGAATTTAGTGGGACAAATTATTGTCAAGCCAAGGAAGAGATATTCTTAGAGTTGACTAAGGTCAAACCATTTTTATGAGATTTGATTTGAAATGAAAATGATTTAGTGATGAATAATTAATATGTTCCTTTAATGGTCTTTCGTAAATTCAACAGTTATTATAAGGTTATTCCCTATTGGTATGATATTTACTAAGAGAACATATCAAATATTCTAAGTCGGCTCAAACCCACCTGATAATGACAAATCCGAACCTAACCTATATATTAAGTGGGTTAATCCGAATCAGAGATTTTCATACATGGCCTAGTTTTGATTTTTTGGTTATGTCATATATTGACACCCAGGATTCACTTGGCACAAATTGGTTAATTTTAGGGTTGCTAGTGTGTGAACTTCGGGAAGTCCGTATGGCTTGGAGTTCAGTTAATACATAAAGTCTAGAGTTATTTTTTAAGATACTGAGTTAGAATCAGATTCATACTTTACAATTTATCATTTATCATTCACTTCTACAAAGTTTGCATTTTACGGCAGACTTTGCTGTAGAAAATTTTTTGGTCAAAAACTATTATTGATTTGAGAAAATAAATTTGGTTGTTTTATTTGCGATGGCTTTGCAGTAGAGTTGTAGCGAAAAGTCTACCATAAAACCAAAAAAAAAAATTCTCTTGCAAAACTGATGCAAACTACCCTATCTAACCGACTGATTATGCATTTGTTTCATTTAATTTCCCTATTCTCTCCCCCATTCTCCACCACCCTTCAGCTCTTGGACTTCACTTGCCTACTTCGATGAAATTCCTTCCTGCCTCATCCGAAGTCATACTTCCTTGCCATTCTTCTTCTCAGTTGCAGTCTCACCTCCATCCCATTTTTCTTTTAAGCCAAAGTTGCACCTCAATCCCATTTTTCCTCATAGCGGATGTCCCACCTCCTTTGGAGACGGAGCTTGCTCGTTGTGAAGAAATCCATCTTTCTTCCTTGTGCATGCTTCTTTGATTAAATTGTCCCATCCAAAGTCACACCTCCTCGTTGTTCTTTTGTAGCAGCCAAAGTTGAGGAGATGGGAGCTTGGCCGTTGTGAAGGTATACATCTTCCTTCCTTTTGCCAGCTTCTTCATCCAAATCTATCGCCGCCGCAAGGTATGTATTTTGTAAATGATATTCTTCTTTATTGATAATCCAGCTACCCTTCAGAAATGGTTGTATAACGAACAGTGGGCAATTTGACAACAGAGCTAGAAAATGTTCGAAAATCACAAGCAAACATTAACATTTAGATTCTGGATAAGTTTCGAAGATTGAGGAAGCAGATTGGTGGAAATCTACCCGCACCTAGATCGGCCGAGCAAAAGAATGAGGATAGATTCCTATTAGGATTTTTGTTGGGATTTTTTTATGTATAAGAATTATTAATATTTTAACAATATTATCGTAATTGTAGAACAGTTCGAATGTGATTGCCTATTTGGGCAATTAGTTTGTGATTGTACAAAAGTGTGTTCCTTATGTTTATTTTAACATTTTTTGTTGAAATATTAGCTGTATTAAGTTGTATTTTTCAATTGCTTGGATTATTATTATTAAAAAGGTCAATAACTAATATATATAGGGGCTACTTTTTTTATTTATGCTACATATTTATGGCGGATTTGAGCGAAAAAATCCATCGTAAATATTGAAATGACAAATGTGTATCTTTTTTTGTAAGGGATTGGAGCAAGAAATTCCACCGAAAAATGAAATTTACGACTGATTTGACTTGTTTTGCAAAATTTGCGAAGATTTTGATCTCTAAAATAAATTATTATTTTTATTTATAGGCAATTGCAAAGGGCTTGCAAAATTTGTTTTTAAATTTCTAAATGTTAATTTGAGTGATTTTAAAATAAACATAAAAAATAATTGGAAAAACATACCCAACAAACATATTTAAACAATTAAATATAAAAATTAGAAATAAAAATAATTTTATAATAGGTAAAATCATATTATTATGAATCTGTTTTTAAAATTTCTTATATATTTCTTCTTAAACCATAACATAATTAGTAATCTTCTTAAACCTACGAGCAATTTCTGAGCACTCAAAGTTAATTTATTAACTGCTATGTTGAAATTGAATGGTGGAATCAAATCACATGATATCAATTTGATGAGAAGAAGAGAAGCAGCAGCAGAAGCAGAAAAAAGTCTCTTATTTTATATATAAGTAAACAAATATCTCATGACAATTAAGCTCACAGTTACACATTATTTCATCGGCTGTTACATATATACCACGAGACAATATTGACCATTGTTGGGTCTTATTCTTCAGTAGCTTTAGCTAGGAGGCTATGACATGAAACTTTTATTTATGAGGAAAGATAATAACTAAAAGTAGCCACTTCCACATCCCTCTACTATGGACTACACCACCACAAGGATGGCGGCCGAAACAACCTCCTGCTTCTACGCAGCCTTTAATGGCGGTCTCCACCGTTGCCACCGCCATATCCACCACCACCATCACCACCGCCGCCATCACCACCATACCCACCATCACCATCATCATCACCACCGCCATCACCACTGCCATATCCACCACCATCATCGCCACCGCCACCGCCATACCCACCGCCATATCCACTGCCGCCATCACTATTGCCACCTACCTCGCCAACAACATAAGTAGGGATGAACCCAACATTCTCTCCTCCGTTGCCATCATCAGTTAAGTGGTAGCCAGAACTTGATTTTGGCTTGCCAGCCTGCTTCAAGGACCTTGCGAAGGAAAGGCAGAAGCTAATGCTAAGCAGAACTAACAATGCAAGAGCCTTGAGCTTATTGCTTGTAGCCATTGTTTGTTTTTGGAATGGTGGATGAGAAGCTGTGCTTGCCGAATGAGCGCTATTTATAGCTGAGTTCGCACTACAAAGTAGGTTTACGATAGAGAATCAGAGGTTTCAAATGAGGACGATTATTAGAAAAAAAAAAAAAAGGAATGTGCGTAAGGTCTTAGGATTAAATCTATTTACAATTTCAAATGAAGTTAAATAAGTTATTCTGAAGACTGTGTTAACATATGCAAATTCAAATATTGGAAGAAGTAAAACTTAAAACCTTAAGTAAAACTTAAATTCAAATATTCAAAAATTAAAATCATATTATAATATGTAAAACCATATTATTATGAGATATGTTTTTAAATTTCATATATATTTCTTCTTAAATCATAAAATAATTAGTACTATTCTTAAACCTACGAGCAATATCTGAGCTCTCAAAGTTAATTTATAAATTGTTACGTTGAAATTGAATGGAGGAATCAAATCACTTGATATTAGTTTGATGAGAAGAAGAGAAGCGGAAGAAGAAGGTTTCTTATTTTATATGTAAGTAAACAGATATCTCATGACAATTAAGCTCACAAGTTACACATTATTTCATCGACTGTTACATATATACCACGAGACAACATTGACCATTGTTGGGTCTTATTCTTCAGTAGCTTTAGATAGGAGGTTATGACATGAAACTTTTATTTATGAGGAAGGATAATAACTGATGAAAGTAGCCGCTTCCACATCCCTCTACTATGGACTACGTACACCACCACCACAAGGATGGTGGCCAAAACAACCTCCTGCTTCTATGCAGCCTTTAATGGCGGTCTCCTCCGTCACCACCGCCATATATATCCACTGCCACCATCACCACCGCCATATCCACTGCCACCATCACCACTGCCATCAGTTGTGGAACGTGAGTAGATATTGATCCGCTTTGCTATGTTTGAAGCCGATTGTAAGAAGCTGATTTGTAAAGGTTGTGAACCACTGACGTGGAGCTTGTTTGAGACTGTATATGGCCTTACGTAATAAGCAGACATGGTTCGGTTGATTTGTAACCTCAAACCCTTTCGGTTGTTTCATGTATACGGTTTCTTCGAGTGTTCCATGTAGAAAGGCATTGGTTACATCCAACTGTTCTACCTGCCAACCATTAAATAACACAATTGTAAAAAGAATTCGAATAGTGGGTAATTTTGCCATCGGACTAAATGATTCACTGTAGTCCAGGCCATGTTCCTGTCTGTTCCCTTGCGCGACTAACCGCGCTTTGTAACGCGCTATAGATACGTCTGAGTTCAGTTTGGTTCTATAAGTCCACTTACAACCTAGCGCATTTTGGGGCGGCGGAACTTTAAAAACCATGTTCCTTGCTGTTGTAATGCTAGAAACTCAGATGCTATTGCCTGCCTCCAGTGTGTGCTTTTGTGAGCTTCAGAATAAGTGGTCGGGTCCAGATTGTGAGTGGACTCAGTTTTTATATGGGCCAGGTTGAACTTGCGACTCGGTTTCAGGGAACCAGTTTGAAGACGTGTAATCATATGATGCTTGGGTTGATGTTTTAGCACGGGAGATGCAGCGGACATTGGTTCAGTGTCTTCTGGAGTGTTGTTGTTGTGTTGAGATGTTTGAGTAGAAGTGTGTTGAGGTTCCAGAGCAGTAGTTGTCTTTTGCCTTAGCATAGGTGCGATATTAAGTTTCGGCAGAGGCACCGATGTAGGTAGAAGCAGAGCAGGTGCCAAGTCGTTAACAGGTTGGGTATCATGGATCCCTGAATGCTGAAACGGAAAGGATTTTTTGTTAAAAGTTACATGTCTCGAAATGACTATATGATTGTTATGAATATTCATGCACTTATAGCCTTTTTGTGTGTCCGAGTAACCCATGAAGACATTGACAGCCGATTTGGGGTGTAATTTAGTTCGACTGTGCGAAGGAGTTAAAGTGTAGCATTCGCAGCCGAATGTTCTTAGATGCTCATACGAAGGTTTGGTGTGGAACATCAACTGCAGTGGAGAAACGGAATCAGTGTTAGTAGAGGGAAGACGGTTTATAAGGTAAGTCGTCGTCGAGACTGCATCTGCCCAAAACTTGTGAGGCATGGATGTCGTGTGTAGCAGAGTTCTCATCGTTTCGATAATATGCCTATGCTTCCTCTCCGCTATCCAATTTTTCTCTGGTGTATACGGACATGAAACTTGATGAAGTATGCCTTTGGATTGAGTGAAGTGCTTAAATTGATTGTTAATGTACTCCCGACCACCATCCGTGCGAATTGCTTTAACTTTCTGGTTCGTTTGGCGCTCAATGAAATTAACAAAATCTATGAATGTTTTAGTAACGTCAAATTTGAACATAATAGGAAAAAGCCAGGTGAACCTAGAAAAATCATCAATGAAGGGTACATAGTATCAAAAACCTTGATGTGAAGGAACCGGTGAAGGTCCCCATACATCAGAGTGCACAAGCTCAAGAATTTTTCTTTTTCTGCTACTAGAATTAGGAAATGACAGTTTGTGACTTTTGCAAGTCATACAAGAAGGACAAGAAAATTTAAAACTAGGAATATGTAGACGAAAATTGTTGTTGGAGATATGCCGAATGACTTGGGTAGTCGGATGTCCAAGTCGATTGTGCCAGTCAGACGCGGAGATGGATGAAGCGAACATAGCTCGGTTCCTGTTAGTTTGGATTGTAGAAGAGATCTTATACAGCCCTTTATTGCTGCTGCCTTTGAGAATCTGCTTATTAGTAAGAAGATCTTTAAATACAAAGCCATTTGCATCAAATGTTATAGATATATTGTTATCTTTAACTAAATGAGAAATGGAAAGTAAGTTATGCGATATAGCCAGTATATGTAATAGTTTTGAAAGGTGAAGCTTACGCGTCGGGGTGGGAAGAATACCCGTGCCCGAATGAGCTATGGGTAACGTTCTTCCATCCCCGATGGCGATGTTGTCTGAACCGCTGTACTCTTTCCCATTAGTAAGATTGTCCAGAGCATTTTTCATGTGAGCCGAAGCTCCGGAGTCAAGATACCAGTCATCGTTGGAGAGATCTGTCGTCGACAGCAAAGCATTATTGGACTTCTTCGAATTGTTTGACGGAGTATAATTGGGATTGAGGCGGTGCCAGCACACATCTGCACTATGACCCTTCTTTGTACGAATTTGACACACCATATGGGAGGTGGTGGTTGTACGAGGATGCGGGTTGCCTGCTGTAGATGAATGGCCACACCCTCTTCTTGGTCTTCCCCTGTCTGTGTAGAGAGCCGTTTGATTATCAGCCACGGCCAAGTGCCTGGAAGAATCAGACTTGACGTGAATTTCCTCGTTGATGAGGAGAGCGTAGAGATTGTCGAGACTCAGCGGCGTCTGCATCGTTCTTACTGCTGTTTTGAACGAATTGTATGTCTGAGGAAGTCCATTCAAGATATGATGAAGAACATCTTCCGGATCAAGTTTAGCGCCGGCATAAGCGATTTGATCCACAAGCTTCTTGATCTCTGTGAGATATTACGTCATGGACATATTGTTCATAGATATATTTTACAGTTCATTCTTCAGTTGAATGACTTTGGAACGATTCATCAACTGGAACTGAATTTGCAAAGTTTTCCAGATTTCCGCTGTGGATTCAAGATGAACCACGTATGGTAGAATTTGAGGGGAAATAGTTGCACAGATGGCTGCTGCTAAATTTTGATCAGTGACTAGCCAGCGGTAATGTCGGAGATTTGGATCTTGATTTTCTTGATCTTGATTATTCGCCGACGTCGATGATGTTGCATCTGGATCAAGAAAAGCTTGAAAGCCATTTGCCTTTAGCAGCTTGTGAACTTGATTACTCCATATCGGGTAATTTTCCGATGAAAGGGGATGAGGTATAAGGGATTTGAGGATAGAGATTACAAACTTAAGAGACGAATGAATGAGCGAAATGTCGGATGCAACTTCTGATCGATCGCCATTGTTGGAGGAGGAGGCGGAAGCCGAGGTGGTCATGGATACGCCTCAGGAAGGACGAACTTCTAATACCATGTAGAAATCTAAGACGGGAAAGAAGATGAACAAAGAAAGTAAACTTGTATATTATTCCTTGTTCCTCTTTACATCAGAAGAATATATATATATATATATATAGTTGATTCTAAGCCTAGTTACACGTGTCAAAGAATTAAATGTTACAAGAAATACATAGTTTATTTATTTATTGTGTAATAGTTATGATTGCTGAGTTTTAGCAGTTTACTATAATGCAACCTCACATATATGGCATTTATGTTTGTATTCAAGTTCTCAAAAGAAAAAAAAAAGAAATTATTGCTTTGAACTTAGTAAGATTTGGTGATTGATATGAAAATTAGATTGTTTTAAATACTATGTATGGAAATCTCTAAAAATATGATATGATGTTTACTGTATAATTTTTTAATAAATTTTTAGAGATTTTTATTTTTATCGTCGTATTTATAAAATCGAAGTTGGAGAGGCTTTCAAGAAAATGAAGTGGAAAAACAATGTTACCTAATGATATTCTGATAGAGATGTGGAAATGCCTAGGAGATCAAGGAATTTTTTGAGCTTACTAAGTTTTTAATATTATTTTGATGACTAAAAAGATGTCAAATTAGTGGAGAAAAAGTGCACTGGTTTTTAATTTTAAGAATAAAGGTGATGAAAATTATAGAGGATTTAAGTTTATGTATCACTTCAAAATTATGGGAGAGGAAGGCCTCATTTGAGATGACTTTCTTACTGCTTCTTAAATCAGTTTTAAGGGCCAACATTCGGCACCAAAAAACATTGCAGGTCTCACCTCCATCTTATATAATTTTCTTTTAATTTTGAGGGGGACTTTTCTATATTGTTCCTCTATTATTATGTGTACGCTTATTGAATGTGTATTTTTCGAGTGCTTTACAGGCTTGATGAATAAGAGTTTGATGTCAAAATCAAAATGGAGTAGCGATTATATTGAAGGTGTTGATAAGTTTTTAGAATTTGCAACACAAAGTCAAAGTTCAACATAAAAAATTTAATGTCCATGCAAATTATGCATTAACATATATTTTCATTATGTAAAAGAAGTCAAGTTGCATTTACTCTCCAAAGGAATTTTCCTTGGATATGTTGTTTGGAATCGACATGGAGAGGAACATGCTTTTTTAGCTGAAGTTATAAGATCAGATACATGTACTAATACTAGTATTGTTGTTGAAGTACAAACTCAAGGCGAGCTGCATAGAACAAATGATATAGAAGGATTATTAAGTGACACATTCTACTCAGGCAATGCCAATTTAGATGATGAACAGAATGAAAATAACATAGATTTGACAAATGATGAAGCAATCACCTCTTTTTCTTACACAGTTATGGTCTACTACTATGTCGTTGTGGCCAAATTATTTTAATCAGTTAAGTGTTCCTCATTATTGCTACTGAAAACTGTATTTCTTTTCGCTCTATATATGTTGAAGCATTCATTTGACATTGCTTGTGTATCTATTTGACATTGCTTATGTTTTTATTTAAAAAATAATTGATTTTTTGCATTATATTTTTTTTATTAGTCCTACCCTTTAGCAGCGGAATTCTATTATTAGCTTTATCTCTAACTAATTCTACTTTATATGACTATTAGTAGCTTTATCTCTAACTTGAAATACAGCTTGAATTCTTATTGATTCCTTATTCTTTCTTCCTTTTTGGAATGTAGTTTTTTGGGTTCTTGGTGCTACACAATGTGCAATTGTTGATTGTGTATGTATTTTTTTTCTTAAATTTATTAAAGAATATAGGTTGATCGTCATGTATGTGCTTATATTAATTTATTTGTTATGTCATTTCTGTTTTTCAGCATCAATCATAAGGCCACCACTGTCATGGAAGTTTTGATGGAAACTTTGAATGCCTTGGCTCCTATACGCCCTAAGGTACATGTATTAATGAATTTAGCATCTTATGAAATGCATTGTTGTTGTTGTTGTATGAAATGCATAAAAAAGATATAAAAGCATGTGATAAACTGC